CGTTCTTCCCACAGTAACTCAGGCCACGATCAATGATGATGTCGTGCACCGGGGTAACCATTAAACGCACGCTGTCGATTCTCACACATTCAACATAGATCGTCTCGCATGCTTTCTCCCTCTCTCTCTCTCTTTCTCTCCTTCTCTCTTCTTCCCGAGTCTCCGATTTCCAAAGTCGATCGTGAATCGCCGGGGGTAAACGTTCGTGCGTGCCCGTAAGTCACGCTCATGAACGACTCGCGCTCGCGCTTTTATGCGGCGCGCCGTCAGCAATTGCATACGCGAACATGGAGAGAGGAAAGGGTAAGGGCGGGCGCGTACGTGCGTGCGACGCGTAGCTCTTAATGAAATTGGTGGACGACGGTGCACAAAGAGCGAGCAGGAGAGAGAGAGAGAGAGAGAGAGAGGAGCCCAGGGAAATGAGGCACGGAGAGCGCGAATCGCGGGGCAGGGGAGGCTGATTTACGATGGGACGTGTGTGTTTTAAGCCGGTTGCATACGGGAGCGTGGAATGTGCGCTTTTTATGGTCGAGAAGAATGGCCAAGGTATATAAAGGCGCATGGGGCATTGAAATTCGGCGCTCTTTTATGCGTGCACGCCAGTGGTCGACCGACTGACTGGGTTGGTTGCTTCGGTTGTACCATATATTTCTCTCTCTCTTTCTCTTTCGCGTTATCTTTCTGCCTCCCTTCCTTCCCTCTCTCCCTTCCCTCTCTCTCTCTCTCTCTCTCTCTCTCTCTCTCTTGCTTGCGTAGATACGCCTTTTGAGGGATCGGCACGCTCATTGCGCATCACCAGTAACGCCGTCGAACAACAGAAACCGGTACGCTATCAAAAGCGAGATGCGCGTGCACCGGTGCAAGGACGCCGCAGAATCGGGCAAAGTGCAGGACTCCAAATGCATAGGGCCGAACTGTGAAAAGCATGGGGGGGACGTTCCCAGGACACGGTACCGGAGCAGACCCGGCCGCCGGTTGTCGAGGCCCGCTTTCGAATAAACGATCTCGCGATTTAACTTGCGCAATTAGAATAAATAACTTTCGAATGGGGGACCTGAGGGAAAGCCAAGGTACTGTCGCACAATTAAGACGGTCTGTCTCTGAAAAGAGCATATCGTACTATAAACCATCTAATGACTCCTACGAAGTAGCGCGGCATTGTTATCGTCAGATTAGTGTCGCTATAACTCGACGTATACAGAATTTGAGGAGTAGAAACTTTAGAAGGCTTTATTCGAAGAGCTTTATCGAACATTTCCGTTTTTCCCCATTTGTTTTTTATGTATTTCAATAAGCACGCGAATTATGTTTTTGGAGATTTTTAATACTGCGTCCTGCAAATAATTGATGCGGCTCAGTATCATAAAGGTCGCCCACCAAAAAGTGGTTTACAACCGTCCCGGGGCGAGCTCTTATATTTTATTTATCACTCGGGGGAGATCGCCTCGTGCTTCCCCCTTCATATCGCTAATACAACAATCGCAAAGGCCGCGCAGATGCAATTCGCATGTACGCAGCGACACGTGGAGAGAACCTCCGTTCCAATCAAGCTGCGGATGGCGTAGGCGATAAGTGAGGAGGGGAGGCAGAGCGAAAATCAGCATGGTGCGCACCGTGTGTACGACCGGAGTTATAACCGGACGGCGATGGCGCAACGTGTGTGTCACTGGGTCACTATATTTCACGGCCATGAATGGTTAAGATCCTTTCAGCGAGAGATGCAGAGACGCCGCTCGCCTCTCGCGTTTATCTCGCTCTCCACGAGCCGGGCTATAAAAGGGGCGGGGCAATTTCGCGAACCCCATGAGCCCTGACTTCGACACGACGCGTACATCTGCGCCTGTGAGGAGAGAAGAAGAGAGAGAGAGAGAGAAGACGAGCAAGAGCTCGCCGAGCGGATTACAGAGGGTCGTATGTCCTCGCGATTACATCCGCGCTTCCATTGTATATCCGGTTTACTCAACTACGCGCGCGAAACTATCGCGTGCGTTACGCATATCGAATAATGTACGAATACGAGTAAGATGTTTGTTATCGTGACGAGGACCCCTCGTCCCCGCATATGGTGCGCGTCTCGCGACGCGGTCTCGGCTCGAGAAATATATAAACTATGCCGAACATGAAATAGCTGTTGCATCGGATGTTCTCTCTGCATCTGATCGTATCGGGAGAAGATACCGAAAATAATCTATTATTTACAACTTGACTTCGCCGCGCGCTCTCGTCAAGCGGAATACTTTATGTCGCCTTGAAGAACGCCTTGAGACGCGCGACGGGACCGAAAATACTTGGCGAATCGTTCGCATCGACGTTTATTTCTGCGATACTAGATCGGAGAAAATGAGGTGTAACGTATTATAACAATAAGTAATATCTATATGTGATTTCGGGGGACACTCGGTAGAAATGGCAATTTATAACTCGTATAAATGCGGCGTGTGTTTAACTTATCTGACATTAACGTCTTGAAAGCTTTAAAATTTTATTCGACATGTGTTTCGCCGGTTTTCACCGTGTCACGGTTTGCGCAAGACATGCGGGGATAATTATGCAATTTGCGTGGACGTTATATTATACAGGTACCGGTAACAAAGTGCAAAATCGAGTCTCGGCGATATGCTGGCGCGCCGACGGCACCTTCCAGCGCGTATAATAAATATCCAGCGTGTAATTGCGAGTGGGATCCGAAACGCGGCAAAGCAGAATCGCGAGGCGAGGTGACCCACATAAACTCGCCGCAGATGCGCTCGTTACGCGCGCAACCTAATTTAAATTTGTTTAAAGACCGCTGTTTTATTAGCCGCATCGCTTTTCACCGTACCATCCGGGAGCGAATAATGCTCGGCGAGCCGAGCGGGAGCCTTTGTCCGAAACGCCCGCGTTCTTCGACGACGCCCTAATTTTTTCGCAGCGAAATACGCACGCGTGGGGCGCATCGCGGTTTTCAGGACCGCGCGAGCGTTTCTCAAGATCACAGATGACGCACCTCGGTAGATATTTCGCGCGTCGCATCTCAGCGGAATTCGCACGAGATTTGTGTGTGTGTGTGTGATCGGAAGTGCGTCGTCCAATATTTCTCTATGATACAGCGTATCTCTGTGGTATCATCGACGGTGCCTTTTTATCTCTCTTTCTCGTCTCCCTTCCTTTCTTCGCCTCCCTGTGCGCCTCCCTACGAAAGTACACGCGCGCCAGCGGGACCGCGCCACGGCCGAACAAAGAAGAGGCATAAATAATCCGGAGTTTCCAGCGGGCGTACCGATAATTAGATTCCAAGGACCGCCTATTTTGGCCGAAAGTTACGTTAGAAGAAGAATCTACGGCTTCTCATCCCGTCCCCATCCTTCCCAGATTCACTCCTCTTTTCCCCCTTCGTCCCTTTCCCTCTTCCAACGTTCACCCGACCCACTTTTGTCTCCTGATGCCCCCCCCCCTCTCTCTCTCACTCTCTCATTTCAATTAAAGATTGAACTAACTTGAACAATCTCAGTTATCGATGGGATTGGATTGTAAGTGGCGATTAATACTTATTGTTAGAAGAAAGTTCCTTATTATGAGATGGGCGTGTAATGCGAGATAGCAGGTTTCCAACGTCCAAATTCAATTACAAATATTTCTTAGCGATGATTCACCTCAAGAGCAATAAATTCATGGTGGAACCAATAGATGATGCTTGTTAATTTAACAGAAACCCCGCTATTTCATATTATGAACTTGTCTCGTAATAGGGGTCTTTCCGCTACTGATTCGGTCATAATTTTTTCATACGTTATCGATGTGGAGAATTTAAAAGAAATATTTGCAAGTTGTAACAAAATATTGACAGCATTGCTATGTGACGTTAGAAGCTTCACATTTCCTTCATTTTTATCCATAAGGTAATAAATTTAATGCTACTTATTGAGAATTAAACGATTGATGTGAAGAGGCGTATAAATCTCTGTAAATAGCATTGTGTGTTTCTTAGAAACAAGATATATAACGAAAACAAATACCAAATTCAAGTAGTAGACGTCTCTACGAGAGACTGCATCTTCAAGTCTTGCCGAAATCTTTTTTTCTAATGCAAGATAAGTGACTGAATTATTTTACATACATTATATTATTTTTGATTAAAATAATATTGGTATTTAAATTTTTGTGTACGTATAATTATCTTTTAATCGTACATAGAAACTTGTGAGGAGAATTATAATCGACAATCAGATTAATAATTATAAATGGTGATTGACTTAACTATAGACGTTTGTAAACTTGATAAAATATGACTGGAGAAAATCTTATAAGTCGCCAGAAGTAATTAAAAACTTCAGAAGATTACTTGACCAGGTCTGGCAAATTTTTATGTTTAAACTCACGACGTTTCGACCATGGTTTGTGGTCATTTTCAAGTGATAATTGTGTCAGTAAATCCGTATGGCAAATCAAAAGAACTGATCTTAATTTCACGAACGACAGAACATGCACAATTATCACTTGAAAATGACCACAAACCATGGTCGAAACGTCGTGAGTTTAAACATAAAAATTTGCCAGACCTGGTCAAGTAATGTTCTCAAGTTGTTGATGAAATATGTTGGGGATAAGAATGAGACTTTCATTCTCATATTTGTGATTGTCACGTAGAGAAACCTATTAATACTAGATTCAATATTGAATTTATCTATTTATTAACGAACATCTGGTTTTAAAAGTCCAAAACATCTGCTTCTAACTTGGGATACATTACAAACCTACCGATAGACAACCATATTTAAGATTATTCATATCGCACGTTTTTGATAACGGCCCGAAACTCCGAGCCCACTAGTCACGTACGAAATTACGAGACTACTTTCTCGAGGAAAAGAAGGAAATAGCTACGCTGGAAAAATACTTATCTCGAGAAACAATTGGCCATAAAGATTATCTACCGTTGTGTATAAATTCAGTGGAAACGGAGAGCTGTCATCAGTCTATCTCGAATTGTTGGAAGTAACACGAGTTCGAAAACACCAAGAATGGCCCACATCGTAGCTTTCCTCTTCCTCGTCGTAGCAGTTGCTACCATCAGTAAGTTGAACACAATAATCAATAAAATTGTTAAATATCGAAATTTCACCTGTAAATGATGGAGTTTTATCTAGCTACATCAGAGTGTCAAGTGTTAGATTGGTGCGTAAGATGGTGTAATAATAATCGTATACTCTACTTATATACATAAATAATTGTATCTATAATGTTAAATGTAATGTAAAATTACAAACAAAATCATTATGACGTCAAAATAAGAATATAGCCACTAGCCTCGCAACATTCTTTTTTTGTTTAAAAAGAAATCTTTTAACCCCTCTTTAAAAGAATTTCGTATTTGCCGTTCCAGAAACAAGTTTATTTATAATACAGAATCTAATAAGAAAAAACAAAATTTTGTATATTAATGTAACAATAGATAAAATTGTGTAGATGTTTGAAGTGTGGTATAATGAAGGATTGGCTGAAAATATATTAGTTTTAAAAGTATAAATGTATAGAAATGTATTTAGAAAAAAATGGGATTCAAGGTGGACAAGAATGTTTCGCTCGCTGCAGAGTCGCGTCTTTTTCTTTTGAACGCTCGAGAACTTCTGCCCTAGTCGATAGTCTTTGTCTGGACAAATAGCTCGGCATTCTACGACCTCCTAATCTAAATATTTCTAGAAGGATATTGCGCGAAACAAACAGGCTGAGCTAATAAACGTCCGTCTATACGTTATAAATTCAAAATTTCGTATCTACATATAATAAGCCGACAGCAAGACTACTGGTAGCCATTTTATGGAACCCGCTGCAGGAAATATATTTTTGGAGTAATGAATAGAAAAAGCGGAACTAAAGAATGTTTTATATAATATTTTTACAAAAACTTACTACGTAAAGGATAAACAATTGGCTTTTAAATTAATTATATTTGTGTAGGTGCTGCGCCTAATTGCGGTGAAAACGAAGAATATACTACATGTGGTTCAATGTGCCCAGGCACCTGTCTCAAGCCAGTACCTTCTTGCCCAAAAGTCAGTATTGCATCCCCTCTAACGAAAAAAAATTTAAACACTTTTAAATACTCCCATTAAATTGTATTTTAACAAGATTCTCATTCTTTATATAAAAAATTCCCGACGTCAACTAGTTCTTGAAAATAGTTTAGTTAAAAATTATTTATATTTTTAGCAAACAGAATTTATAATATATTTAAATTAATTTTATTTAAATGACACTTTTGTATACTTTATTTTTAATTGTTTTACTTTGTTTTATAGGATGTTTGTGTTATGGGATGCGCATGCAAGGAAAATCATTTTAGAAATGTGCAAAACAAATGTGTACCTTTCCTTCATTGTTACAAAGATTTTATTCGTCCTGAGAGGAATAGAAGACTTTGAAAGTGAATCCAATCGATATTAAAAGCCTTTTCGTAGATTAGTAAACTTGTAACACAGATTTGTACTTACTAATCTGAAAAATTATATTATAATATATAGTTACTGGATTGTTTCATTTTATAAAATTGATACTACTTTTATTATTTTTATTAAAATACATTTTAAATAAAATAAAATAAATTTGGAAATATATTTATTAAATTTGATCATCTTCTACACTGGTAAAAAATATCTTAATCCAAAAAATATTACTTTACTCAAGAAACTTATTTATTAGGTGGCTCCTAATAGCTTATTCATTTAAATTTATAAAATAATAAACAAATTAAAACATGCATTTCTTTAATTTAAGTATATATAAGATATTTATTAAATATCAAACAATAGATCATTTTAAATTAAAAAAATTTTACTTTAATTCTATAAAATGCTTACTAAGATATAAGTTTTACAGCGAAGAAAATTGGATTTCTTATTTGACAAAAACAATGATTTCATTTAATAAATAGTATTCTCTATCTCATGACATCTTTAATTGAATGTGGCAAATGTAATGATTTAAATTAATTTACTTAATATAATACGCAGATTTACTTGAAATTTGATATTTTTATTTAAATAGAATAAATATTTACTTCAGTAAAAAAATTTAAGTAAATCTATTTACTTCGTTTAAAAACATTTTTTGTCGGTATAGAATCCTACATATCCATGAGTTTTTACGAACTTTGTTAATATTAAATCTATCAAATTATTACATATTTTAAATTAAGAAACATGAAATAATATGCATGCAATGTTAAAAATGTAAATGTTATCTTAAAACTCTGTAAAAAATTAGCAGTAAATAATATTCCCTTGCGAGGAACATAAATATGTGTACAATAATTTTAATTACTAATTGTAAGTATATAGAGTTATTTGAAAACATTTTATATAATATTAATATTCAGCGGGAGATATTTAAAACACATATTTGTATATTTTCTAAATAAAGAATCGATCTATATTCGATAAAGAAATCTCAGGAAAAATTTAGGCAACCTCTGGAATAATGAGTAGATATTACGTAAATTATACTTCTGACGGCGATAAGTATTTAATCTTCTGGTAGTCGGTGACTTTAATGTCTGATAGTCCATTGTGTACCAAATAAAACACCATTAAGAATCATATAATTGTTTTCTTACATAATAGTAAAATATCTTTATATAATACAATATCCTTTTTAAGATATCTTTAATCTATGCAAAGCATGTGTATACCATGTGATATACAACAATATGAAAGTTTATATACACTCCCTTCCCTCTCTCTCTCTCTTCCCTCCTCATTGCCTCTTCTCCCTTCTTCTTCGCACCCACTCTGGATCCCGCATTGCAAACTTCGCCAGTGGGAGCAAACAAAGAGCCGCTTCCACCCTTGCAAATGCGTTCAGCATATTTATGGCACCGAAAACTGTCGTACACTTACCGCCAAAAACGCCGTGGTGCGGAGGGTCGAAAGCGGGAGCAAAAACACGAAGGATGACCGAGACTCTCAACGAGATTGACCATTCTCTGGACCGAGAAAGAATAGAACAGCGTCGCAGTCAGATTTGTGGTATTCGAACTGAGATTTGAAATTATTGATTCTCGCCTCTGCTTATCCCCGGCATACCTGTTTTCAAGAAAAATGGTGCTCGATGTATACGATGAAACTACGCATCTGACGCTATTGCGTCATTGCATTGGTCACATAATTTTTTTATTAACAGTGTGTACATAATGTATCTGACAATCAGGAAAATTAAATGAGCAGTGAGCTGCGATACTTCAAAAAAAATTTTGTCAAAATTACATTTTGTATTTTGTTTTACTGTTCGAAATATCGAAAGTTTCGTACACGTTCCAAGTTGGTATAGGGAGGAAATAACGTTGTTACTACTTTTTTATCTCTTTTTTTTTCGACATAAGAGAGACGAATGCGGGAACCGTCGCAATTCGATGCGACAGCCAAGTCGTAAGGAAAAACCGGGAAGACTCTATGAACTGGATAGCGTTCCGTGGTCCTACGTGAAGCCCCACAGAACGAGACTTGCGGTACTTCATTCAGAGGGAGAGAGAGAACGAGAAAGAGAGAGAGAGCGTGGAATAAAGTGGTGGAACTCGAGAACTGCTCCACTTTCAGACAATGGGAGCAGGTAGTCGAAGTGTCCTATCTCTTTCGCGTTCCCGGCTGCGTCCGGCCCTTTTCTCTCGCTCGCGCACTTTTTCGACTCGTAGAAAGGTGCGTTCATAAAAATAGTTACGGCATAATAGGTGTAACGAGGATGGTGGTTGTTACCGCTATACCGGTTGCGGCACCAGGGCGCAATCGTCATAAATTCAACGTGCGAACAGTGCTACAATGCACGTTAAATCATCCTCGATCGCACCTAAAAAGGGCCCTGAGTTATTGCAGCGGTCGAGCGCAACACGTCTGCGTATCGGGTGCATCCCGTTTATCCATTTTCAAAGGGCTATGAGAAATCCAGCCGAGAGGGAGAGAGCGGCAGGGGGAGCAGGAATTAGAATGGGAGGTTGCGAGCACATGTGTGTTTATAGAACGCAATTTACACTTGTGATTTCATTGTAATTCAGTATATGTGGCGCTCGCATTTTTGCGGGCGCGAAAGAATCCAGCCTTGTATAATGCATTGAGAAAATTGCATTCCCCGTGTTATTTCGAGCGTGTAAAATTATTTTCTCATAACCATTGTTGATGAATGAAATTTGCCGAGACTAACGCGCCTAGACGAACTTAACGAGAGATTAAACGGGCATCTCCTCAAGACGAGGCTCGGTATTGATTTTCTTTTCCATGCCGCGAACAGACGTAGCTTTAACAAAGGACCATTAAAATCGGCGATTCTTCACTCTCGGAAACGTCCTTTTTCCTTCCTCTCCTCTTTTTCTTTCCGTATCTCGATCACAAATCTTCCCCTGCCGTCTAGGCCTATTGTTATCCGGTAATAGAAAAACTTTGCAACTCCCGGGATGCTGCGCGTTTTTCTTCCATATACATGCATGCACGCACAATATACGCGAGTCGTCAGACTGGCGATGTGATTTAAACTTGCAAGAAACTGTAAACGTGTTCAGTGGCTTCAATTTATCAATATCGATGCGTTATGCATTTACCAACATTTTTCAACTGCCGTAGAAGTCTGAGAAACAATAGCGTACATGAATAAAAGCGTTCTTAGCTCATAGAATAGTAAAACTATTTATTCCCCAAAAATTAAGTAAAAACATCCTGCGATTTTTTAATTTAATTATAAAGCGTTTACCTTGTCTTTTAAAGCTTTAACGTTTATTGTCGTCGGAAAGAATAGGATTATTAGAAATCCAATATAAACAAGCACGTATAAGAGATTGTAACATATAATTCGCACTTATTATACTCGCAACAAATTTATTTAACATAACTGAAATTATTACTTTTATATCTGTTTTTAATAATTTTTCTTTTTCTTTCCCGTTAATGCTAAAGAATGTCCAGTCTTTACTGAGATTATAGACGGAGATAAATCAGAACGTTTGATGACGCTAATTATCTCGCAAGTGCACTTATGAATATTAATGATGAGGCGAGGCGGCCATTCTGGCGTTTCCTCAGAATTCGTTTCAAATCGTTTCGCGTATCCTCGGGGATGGCATCAAGACAGGTGGAGGGATTGAAAATATGCGCGTTGCTGGAGGAGCGACATTCGACGAGAACAAAAGTGATTCAGTCGTAAACACACTCGCTTCCCACCCTCCCCTTCTCTCGGGGGAGGAAAGGGGATTGAAGGTAGCTTACACGGTGCGCCTACGGGGGTAGCGCACGATATTTCGCCGTTGAAGCTCACCGGGGCCACATTTCTCTTGATTTAGCGAAACAATCCGAGCATCTGAATTTCAAATATGGCGTCTACGTCTCCCGGTAAAACGCAGACCGTGCGGGAGTTTTGCTCATACCACACTTCGGATGACCCGCGAAAGGATCTCGCGCGAATTAGTTCACGAAAGATCCTTTTTCGCACCCTCCGCCGATCCCCTTTCTCTTTCTTCGAAGAAAAGATTTCGCGCAGTTTGTAGGAAGGGTAGCCCCGTCGGAATGTTCTTTATGCCGAGATTCATGTGTATATAAATTAGTTTGATTGCCTAATCAGCAACCAGGCAGCAAGCTGGCAGCAAGCAATGTTATTTATCGTCATTCTGTCAAAATAACGGTTGTTAACGATAATATAATACTATCTAGAGAATAATGAAATTTATAGAGGACAGTCCCCTATTATGAGATAGGATCCTAATATGGGATAGCTGGGTTTCTGTTAAATTAATAGCATCAGCAGTTGATTCCACTATGAATTTATTGCCCTTGGAGCGAAATCTGTTCAGTGGAAAATTCATTGTTAAATTGTGTAATCGCCGCGGAAAAAGATTTGCGATTGAATTTGGGTGTTGAAAACCTGCTGTCTCATATTAGAAACCTATCTCATAATAGAGGACTTTCCTCTATATACATGTATGGAAATATACTCTCTGAAAGTCCATCAGTGGATTGTCACTGAAATCAGTGGATAGTCACTAATTTCCAGTTCTAAGTACATACTACTGAAAATCGCAGTGGTACACTTATAACTGTAAACCAGTGACTATTCACTGTTCTCAGCGAAAATCCACCGATTGACTTTACGGTAAATTGAAATCTTACTCTTTGCAAGATTTGTTATTTGCAATTTCATAGTAAACATGTTTTCTCCCGTGCTCCCTTACACTGATTGTGAGAGAAAAGTCTTTGAAAATTTATTTGTGGCATATAATGTTTGTTTCGCTAAAATAACCATTATTTGAGGCATATAACGTTTATTTCACTGAAATAAACATTATATGCTACAAATAAATTTTCAGAGACTGTTTTCTCAGTGTAGTACTCTTGATTTTTAATCCAATATTTTTTGCGAGATATCAACGCAGAATCGCCAGAGAGCATAT